GAAGGAAGGAAAGAAGGAAGGAAGGAAGGAAGGAAGGAAGGAAGGAAGGAAGGAAGGAAGGAAGGAAGGAAGGAAAGAAGCAGCAGCTTGGCCATAGAGAAAGACATGACAACATTAAAAACGCAAAACAGCAGCCTCATAACAAAGATATTTAGGCTATAAAGTGAGTCTGCTGGGGCTTGACACATTTGTGAAGTCCTTGCATCGTCTCATCAATGGCATGAGTGCACCAGTGAAAAACATCACTGTGTGGGAATGCGGTGTATAAGGAAACATACTGTACAACTTTGAACCTTCTGTCCACCAAACAAGATCACTCAGTGTTCTGCATCTCTGTTCCCTTAACACACACACACATACACACACACAGTTATATTCTAATATTCAAAACTATAAAGAAGTACTATTCCAAGTTTCTGGTTTTCTAAGATACATAATAAATTCTTAACAAGACTGAAGGGTCTGGAGATACATCTCAGTGGTAAAACGTGTACTTGCCTAGTATATTTGAGTCTGTAGGTTTGGTCCTCAGGAGAGCGAGAGCGAGAGCGAGAGCTAGAGAGAGAGAGAGAGAGAGAGAGAGAGAGAGAGAGAGGAATATTTGAGAGAGGGAGATTTCATAACTGATGTTAGCCAAAGTGATAGAAGAGTTTTTTACCTTCTACTACCAAGCTTTACAATATTGAGAGACTTCTAATAAATTTGAATATTTTAAAGAAAGCTTTATCATTTTTAAAGATTCCAAGACACTGTCTATATATTAAAAGTTTGCCTAGGCATTTATTGTGTTATATTTTCTTCTTGATCTTTGACCAAAGTAATAGCAACTTATTTCTGAGGAGAATTCAGAGCTCTTAAACATGAGAATGAGTATCGGCTATTAAATGAGATTGTCTTCTTGGTGCTTTATCAATTCATGGAGCTGCTTGTCTCATAGTGTAGAAATGATCAAAACTGTTGAGCATATAGAAGAGTTTACAAAAGTATTGTATTGCCTTTGAATTCGTGAAAGGAGCCCAACCATGGTGACATTGTTGAGCAATCACTGTGAAGACAGTAAAGTGTGAAAAGTTGTCTATGTCATATCAACAAAGGAGACAAAGGAGAAGAAAGAAAAGGCCACTGGTTGACTTTTAAGTGGGGAAAGAAAAGATTTAGATCTTCTAGAACTAGATCCATGGAAAATATTTACTCATTATATTTATCTGTTTTGTAGAGTTTATGCCCTTAGAGCTAAGCTAATAGAAATCTATAAATACAAAATAATTTGTTATGGTTGCCAAAATTTGGGATACTTAGAAATATTTTATTTACTGTACACAAATTTGATATTCTTATAAAATGTGGTCTAATTTTTCAAGAGTAGCATGCTGAAGATGCTTCTTTCCAAAGGTCTTTGTACCAACAGTTTATGGTGGAGATGTTTTGAAACTTCATATATGAAAGAAGATCATTAACAAAAAATAAAAAAGTGAACTATTAACATCAAAATGGTGGAACCATTTAAATGGATGCCAGTTTTTAGAATCACCTTTCGTTTAATTTAACTGGTTCCTTCCCAAGTGGTCATGGGAGTTGTGGCTAGAACCCCCAGCTGACTTGGTCTGTAAGGATTAGTAAATTCTGTAGGAGCCAGCTCATCTGCCCTTCACCAAATAAAACCCCTTTCAACCAGCAGCTTCTCTCCTCATGCCAAACACTGTTTGCATAGTAAGGATATCAATCGTATGTTTATCATTCTGTTCCATGTAACTTCTGTCCTTAAATGCTCTTTAACAGGAAGTCTGCTGTAGAAAGGGAAGTGGCCAGAAAGAACCAATTGAGTACCATGTAGCTGCTCCTCACACAGAGTTTACAAACTTTGAGTAGCTCATTGGTTCAGGTTAGACTCAAAGAAAAATGTACAAACGATATGAGCTTCAGTTGTCATGGTAAGAGGGACAATAGAGCCAACAACTAATTTTAGAAGGACTGCTAAATTAGCAGCCAGTCACCTTGGGTCATTGAACTTGAGTGAAAATGTTTGATGTATCTTATTGTTGAAAAACCATGAGCTCTAATTTAAATTAGGATGTCATCTTGCATTTCTTTCAAGGAAACCAATTAAAGTCAATGTAGTATATTAAAGTTTGGTCAAGATCCCCTATGTACAAATGAAAGATGTAAAAAGATTATTGTATTTGAAATTAAGAAAAATAAATTACCCTGCTTTAGTTTATGTGTTAAAAGTAGAGTCTTGTAACATAACACCGAAGTGTTTTGTGGTATCCCAACAGTTTACCTTTAACTAAGATCATCCTTTTTAAACTATGCATGTTTGTTTTGTCTGCTTTCAATACAGATCTCTGTTTTGTCTAATGCTTTGAATGTAACTTAAGACTTTGAACATGGACTATTCAATGTGCCTCTGAATAGGCTGTGGTTCCTGAGCTAAC